TGAATTTGAAGTTTTTGTGAATTATTATAGGATAGTTTGGGTCATTTAGATAGTACTTTTAAGTCCATAATAAACCTCTCATTTAGGATGGAGAACCGTTCGATTTTATCTCTGTGAACAGTTAAAGCACAGTGGTGAATAGTAAAAATATAGTTCACAGAGACAAATCAGAATGTTCTCTGTGTTCGATCTCCGCACATACTAAACTATCCTAATAGTAGGATTAGTTAACCTGGTAAAGCCATTTAACAATGTTAGAGTTCACTTTGATCTCTTAATGATGCTATTGCCCGCTAATCATTATTGTGTTAAACCGTTGAAGTATTCCATTCTCAATCAAAGGTTACAGTGAATCCCTTCATGATATGCCCTCGCAACTCGTAGAACACCTTACGCTTATCACTTGTCATGCGATAACTATGTGCTAACACATGAAGAAATTTCCATAACAACTAGCATTTAAAATCTTTACAATGAAGGTCCTAATTTAAAAGAACTCTTACATATTCAAGCAAGTCTATTAAATATTAATTGCATTAGATCAAACCTAATTTCTCATCAAATTATTGAAGTCTTTAAGTTAACCTATTTTCTAGATTCCTTTTTACATATTCAAGCAAGTCTATTAAATATTAATTGCATTAGATCAAACCTAATTTCTCATCAAATTATTGAAGTCTTTAAGTTAACCTATTTTCTAGATTCCTTTGTGCTTTTGTGTTAGAAGAATCCTATTTGCTTTCCCCACGATGGCTCTTTTAACATCTTCCTGAATAATCACTAATATATCAGTTTGGAGATAGCATAACCTTTGTATTTTTGTATAGGATAAATCTTTACTTTCTCCTTAGACTTAGAGTTTATTTGAGCTAGCTTTCTATTTGTTTTTCAGACAGTAATCATAATTTTATTTGGATATAGTTTAATTGTTGCTTTCTGAATGTTTTGCAGAAATTTTTGTGATAGAAACTGTTTTTTGCAACCATAATGACGAATTTACTTTCTCTATAACAATTTCACAGTTAACTTTATAAAATGTTGTAGCCGTCTCTCTTATAGAAAGGAGCCACTCATCAATGCTCATGTACTATCAGGTTAACTTGCTATACATGTGTTTTTTCTCCGAGCTATCACTCAAACAATTTTGACGGGTGTCTAAATTGGATAAAAAAAAATGTGACTTGATTCTGAGAGTTTGACCGTGACTTGATTCTCACAGTTTGACCATTCTCCTATAAGCCCGCTGACCTGGCAGAAATTATTCTGTTGCAGAGACTGATCACAGAACGCTGTCCGGGAACCAATCAGAATGCATCACGTTAGCGGTACTGAACCGCGGTATAGAGTAGTGCCGAGCACAAGGATGACATGACCTCGATACAACTTTTGACATCCGCACAGAATAATCAATCCTCAAATAAATCCTTTGGGGTTATATGATAGCAGCATGGTGACTAGAACCCATATATAAAACTAAAACAAACCTCAAACAAATCGAACAAGTAAAATCGGCTAGTTGACACTTGGACCGGGGTTGAACCGGTTCAACTTTCATCAGATCTGAAATTCCCCCAACCGACAAAAAAAACCCTTCTCTCATTTATATCGTCTCTCCAGTCTCCATCCACACCGCTGTCTTCGCTGATCATTCTCATTCTCATTTCTTCGCCGTCCTCCTTCCTCCCCAAATTACTTCAAATAAGCTTATTTCAACCCTAAAGAATGTCGACGATGACTTCAATCTCCCCAAGCCGCCTTCGCTCCGACCTCTACTCGTTCCCCTGCAACTCCGACGCTTCGTCGCCGCTGGTTATCGCCGTTCTCGCTTCCCTCATTGACCGCGCAGTGGCTAAAACCGACCGCATTGCAGCTTGCGGAGCCTCTGCGAAGAAGGATGTAAGGATTAGGGCATTTGAGAGCCGGCGGGTGCTTGATATGAGCATACAATCATTCCTCGATAGAATATTCCGGTACGCTCGCGTTATGCCGCCGGTGTTCGTCGTCGCATACGTTTACATCGACAGGCTCTGTGAGTTGAATCCATGTTTCTGTGCTTCGATTTGGAATGTTCATCGGCTTCTGATCACCGCCGTGTTGGTCGCCTCCAAGTTCATTGAAGACATGTAAGTTTGTTTACAATTACAATTCTTCCTTCTTAAGTTTAGTTTTGGACGGCTAAGAGAGAATTCTTCAGAATTTGATGAAGTAATTGTTGGATTGAGTTCTAGCAACCATGAGCGAAATACACGATTACGATGATATTAACTGCATTTGTAACTGCAGAGGATCCGAAATCTCTTGCCCGTAAAGTGAGCGATCCGTCGAATAATGGCTGGCAGAGTATCGGCCATTTAATGACGACTGGGAATTAGCTGTAGGAATATGATTTGAAGGATTGTAATTAGTTCATTGATATTTGATATTCAATGTCATTGATGATGATTTTAGGGCTAATCAATTAATTATCATGTTAAATTTATTTTAAAAAAAGATTTAATGATTTGAAGATCTATTTTGGCCAATGTTTAATCAGAAATTTTCTCATTTAATTATAGACAAATGACAACTAAGGGGATTTGTTGTTAAGTCTGATCATTCTAGGTAGCATTCTATTGATTGGGAGTGTTAAATTTATAATTTATTTGGGGAGATTATAGCTTTTTATAAAATGATTGTAAAATTATTATAGGCATTATACATAACTTTTTTTTTTTTAATTTAAAAGTAATTTTCTTATAGCTACTACAAGCTAATAATTTAACTTTCAGCCACATAAACTTTTGAAAGTAATCACTGCTCTGATCTTATTTTTATTTATTTATTTTTGTTTACAGGAATTATAGGAACTCATATTTTGCCAAGATAGGAGGGATATCAACACAGGAGATGAACAGCTTGGAGCTGAACTTCCTGTTCTTGATGGGTTTCAAGCTGCAAGTGAGTGTAAGTGTGTTTGAAAGCTACTGCAGGCATTTAGAGAGAGAGGTGAGCTTTGGAGGAGGATATCAAATTGAAAGGAGCTTGAGATCTGTATGCGCATCAGGGATTCTGTCATGGAAGAAGGAGAAAAGGCAAGTGAAGCTAGCCCAGGTTCTTTGACATATTTACTTTTCACAAGATAAGGGGATTCTTCAGTTAAAAATTTTAGAATAAGAGGTACCAAATGATTTAGATTGGCTTTATGAATCTTCTAAGAAAGTATTATGTACATCTTCATTAAAATAAAGCTTAAAGTTCTCATTGTGAATGTAAAAAAATTGTATGTTTCCTTTTGTTATTTTTAAGAAATTTGAGCTAATTAAGACAAATTCATACACACATCACATACGTAAGTTTCGAATTCAAGACCTCTTAGTTGATAGTCAAAACTACTAACTAACAAATCAAGATCAACGACATAAATTGTATGTTTATATGAAGGAATGTTAAATAGATTAATTTTAGCTGAAACACAGACACTCACATCGGATTTAATTTTATCAAATAACACTTGAGAGTATTGGCCTTATGAGAAATTATCTTGTGTGGCATCCGGATCGGAAGAACCGTTGGAATATGTGAGTGTACACACTCACAATTCGGACAATTCTTCACGTCCGGATGCCACACAAACAATTTCTCGGCCCCAACATTTAAACAAAAACAAATAAATTTATCAAGATATTCTAATACAATTTTTTTCTTAATAATTAGTTGCAAGCCAAAATAGACAGCCCAACATGAAGGACAAGACCATCCTCTTTGCCACCTAACAACATTATTTCAATATATATCATAGTTCACTGATGCTGTATTGTGGTAAAACACCAATGATAAATAATTCAACTAAAGTTCCAAATAAATTAAGAGTAAACTTTGGTTAATTTTTTAATAATTTTATTTTATAAATTATAATCATATTTTGTATAATTATAATTATTTTAATATCACAAAATTAGGTTGTTGATATCTTTAATGCTGATATTTCTTACTAATGTTGGGCTAACCCATGATGAATATCATGAACATTGACAATGTGGTTCTTAAAATTACCAATGCAACAATTTAAAATTTGCACAAAATCTTACACATTTTTTCTTAAAATGACTTTTATTAAAAGAAGCAATGCTCCATTAAATGCAGACAAGTTAAGGCTTCATTTGGGACAATTTTTTTATTGTTTTATAAAGTAACTTTTTAGTACAAAAATTTCTTGAATTAGATATTTTAGTACTAGAAAGCCGTTTTAGAAAACATTAAGAAATCTGCCCCAAATGAAGCCTAAATGAGCTATGATTAAGCACTCTATTAAATTTAATTCTATCATTTTGAATGTTCTTTATAAACACTTTCATAATAAATACAATAAATTTGAGTTTAATTTAATTTTTAATGTAAAAAAGTATTACACCACCAATTCATTATCTTTCTTATATAATTTGTAAGTCTGCCTTTTTTTGGGGGATATTAGGGTCAATTAAGTCAAACTCGTACACACAAAGTCTCAAACCCAAAACCTCTTGATTAGTAATCAAAGCATCTAACCAACAGACCAAGATGATAAGTATATAATTGCCATGTACATAAATAAGTGTATAATTGCCCAATTAATGCTAATAATGCTTTAAGACTAAAAACATTTCACTCTTTGAATTTGTTTCACAGTGATATAGTGGTTGAATCTGCTTATAAAATACCCTAAGCTTTTATTTTAACTAAAGAATATTCTTGGTTGTAAATATTTATCATGGCCATTAGCTTCTTGCTTCTTCTTCTTCTTCTCACTCTCCTTTCTCTTCTTGATCCTACCCTTAGCTTTAAGCCCAAAAGCCTAAACTACTCCCTCTCCTTTGGCTGGTCGCCGGCCGGAGCTACTTGGTATGGTAGTCCCAATGGCTATGGTAGTGATGGTAAGGGCAAAGTGAATTTAATTGTAAATTCATGCATAATCTATGTAAAAGATCTCGAATTCAAAATCTCTTGATTAGAAGCCTATAAACACAATTAATATATTATAATATACTGAATGAAATAAAATTATATTAAAACTACTTAAATGAGACCATTCATTTATTTAGCAATCAAAATTAAGGAGAAAAATACTTATCAAATCTCAACTCAAACATATACGAAATTATTCTGTGTGGATTTCAGATTGTCTGGACGCAAATCATAGCTCGCCATATCACATAGTACACAATAGTATTGAGAACCGGTACCCAACAAATGGGTGACTTGGCACGCTGTGATTCGACACCGGACGACGTCCGAAATCTACCCAGAATAATTAATCCACATACACTCTATCTCTATCTATAATTTATTAAACCATAATAAAGAGAGAATGTTTTAGTTTTCAAGAAATGAAATAAACACTTATTTGAAATCTTAATTGCTCTTTTATTTTTTAAATTTAATATTTTTCTTTTTTAATGTAAGTGAGAACAGGCTCAATAAATGACTTGTGAGCTGAACTCGATGAGCTAATGAGTCAAATTTGAACTAATCTTGACTCAACTGATTAGCTTGTGAGTTAGCTCATTTAAAAAAATATTAATATAAAATACACTTAAAATATATTATATTTTGGATTTTAAGTACAAAGTTCTTAAAAATATTTAAAAGTTAACTTTTACTTTTTTTTATATTAAGTGACAATCATTTTTTCTTCTAATTTATCTTTTTTCTTACTATAATTGTTGCGTACTAGAATATACGCGGCGATAGAGTTAGAAAGTTTTCGTCTAAGCGTTGTACGAATATTCAGAACACAAAACAGAAGATGAAAGAACACTGATTTTTACGTAGAAAAATCTGGAAAGAGAAAAAATCATGGGGCCACGTCCAGTTGAAAGAATTCCACTAGTGTTTGCTTGAGATACAAAAAGCTGACTCGTTCTTAAAAGTTAGGATGATCAAATTTTAATGATTCACTTCCGGATTGAAATCCAATTACAAACAACTTCCATATTCGAGATGAATTCAGAATCACTTGAATATTAGACATAATTTCGACGTCACTTGGAAATCGAGAAGAGTTACAGCATCCCGCGGAAGTCGGGCATAATTCCGATGGTGGTCGAGGAGGAGTTTCTTCCCTCCTTCCTTCTTCTCTTCTTCTTCTTGCTTGAGTCCCCTCTCAAGAGAAATAAGAGGCTATTTATAATTTTTTGAAGATGATATGACCCGTAAATAGGAGGAGGATCAAGGGCAAATGTGGAGTGGTACAAATGGACGACCAATATTGAATCCATTGATCATGGACCGTTTGGGTCTTAACAATATCAGAATTCGGCAATCTTGGGCTTGTTGGATTCGTCTCGTTGAGTCGCTCGATTCGACTATAAGCATGTCATGTTTGGATACCGTTTGGTAATCCAAATTGTGGTTTGAACCTTCCAACATCTCTTCAAGTCTTTGATTCAGACTCATTTGGGCTCAAATTGAGTTGAATTTGGTGTCGTTGGGTTCATATTTTTGAGACGCTCAGTTCGACTATAAGTTTGTTGAAATCAGAGTTCAAATGATCCTGGATTAAATTTTTAAAATTTCCAACTTGATTTTACCTCGAGATTCATGTCTGATAAAGATAATTTTTTGAAGATGTATCATTGTTTGAATCATAATCTCTCTCTCTCTCACTCTCTCTTTGATATGACAATGTCAAATCGAACTCGAATAATTAATCAAACTCAGGAGCGGGGTGACTCGAGCCAAGCTCTACGCATTTTTTGAGAATCAAAATCAAATTTATTTACCACATACTTAAAAATAAAACAATTAGAATTTTTGAATTTTTAGCATTTCTCTGATGATGATGATGATCAGGTGAAATGCTCGAATAATGCGGCGTGTTCTAACCATCCGGTGACGGTGGTGATCACCGACGAGTGTCCGGGCGGGCCCTGCGTCGCCCAGCCTTACCATTTCGATTTGAGCGGGACGGCCTTTGGAGCGATGGCCATTTCCGGCAGAGCCAATGAGCTGCGCAATGCAGGTGCCATTCAAATACAATATATAAGGTGATATATATATATTATATTCTTCTGAAATGCATGGAAATTTTGAAAATATATCGAAAGTTTTTTTTTCTCATATTCCAATTGTTGTTTAATATTGCAAAAAATTTATACTAGGAGTGTCAAAAATTGACACAACCTAAAAATTTGAGTCGAACCCGACATAAAAATTTTGAATTCGGATCAATCCAAACCCAAAGAAAATCTGGTTCGAGTCCTGATTTTTGACTCATTTCAAATTCCGGGTCGAATTCAGGTTGACCCCGAAATCTAAAATTGACCCGATTTTGACATGAAATCTTGTAATTCGGCATATTTACAGCCTTTATACTATGAGAATTATTTTTAATTTTATGTAACGATTTTATTAGTTTTAATAAAAGTTTGAATTCTCTAAGTCAAAGCAGTGTGAAAATACTATAAATATAAAATATATGAAAAAAGTTGTTGACTTTAACGGCATCGCAGGGTTCCTTGCAACTACTACGGAATAAACATCGTCTTCCACGTGGACTCCGGAGCAAACCCATACTACTTCGCGGTGGTGGCGGAGTACGTCGCCGGCGACGGTGATCTTGGCGCCGTCGAGCTTCTGCCGTCGTGTACCGGAGCCAAATGGCAGGCAATGCAGAACTTGAATGGGGCTGTTTGGAAGCTGAACTGGGCATCACCACTACAACCACCTTTCTCCCTCCGGCTGACCACTCTCGCCACCGGCAAAACCCTAACAGCCATAAACGTGATTCCGCAGGGCTGGAAGCCAGGAACAAGCTACAAATCATCTGTTAACTACATCAATTAACTCTCTCTCTCTACATTTGTTAAAATATAGGATTTGGAGTTTTATGGTGAAGTTTAATAAAGAGAACAGAAATCAAACAGCCACTTTATAAATTACAAATACAGAAATATCAACAATTGTGATAAAACGAAAGTTGACAAATTAATTGCACCTAGAAAAACAAAAAAGTCGAGAGCTTCAGCTATATACAGAAACATTTCATTCATGTTACAAAACTGCACACAAAAACTTGAGATATTGCTAGAAAAACACTAAAAATAGCAATTTGTGCTAATCTGAAAATTCACTTGCCAAGTTAAATCCGTTTTAAGGATTCAGTTCATACCTTCATTGCAACAACAAGTGATGAGCACAAATCACGAGGAAAGAGGTGCTGGCATCTGCTGCTTTCTGACTCTGTCCCCACCCTTCACCATACTGAAAGCAACCAAAATCTCAGTAAAAAAAAAAAAAAAGATAATACAATGAACATTACAAAGATTTGTCTCACCTGATATCATGCGGGGTAATAAATATCCATTGTGAACCTTGGTTTATAGCAAATTCTAACAGAGCATCTAAGCTGATTTTTCTGCTAACTGCATCCTAAAAAAGACCAATTCAAAAGTTCAAATATTTTAATAACATTAAGACTTTCACCAATCGGTCTCAAGAACAATAAGGGTTGTTGATCTTAATAGAGGCTTACCATAAAGACATCAAATTCATCCATAGCTCGAAAAGGGGCCTCAGTCATATCATGAAGAGCTAGTGCAAAACAAAGTGTAGAGAAAGAACGCTCTCCACCTGAAAAAGGATAATATATGTAGTTGTAAGTTTTACCGGACAGCTTTGTGCCTCTGATGTTACAAACCAGTTCCAGATATAATAATTCGCTAACCTGAAAGGCCTCTAGTGTCTCTAATGTTGTTTCCTGAAGCATCTTGAGGCATTTTTACCTATAAGCAACGGTAATATTAAGTTGAGTGAAACAAAATAAAGTGAAAGACCTCGTAAAGCAAGACAGGGTAAGATGTACTGAACAGGGTGAGAGAAGTGAAGTAAGAACCTCTACTGAAAGAAGTTTCTTATCATAATCCACCGTGATTTTCCCCGATATACCCTTCTTTAGTAAATGCCCATTAAACCTGAGTAAAAATAAAGCAAGAAAAACTGGAATAAGAAAGAGCTTCCAATTCGTTATTCTAACACCAAACAACCCAGAAGTTGATGTGGCACTTAATTTTCTTCATGTTTATACACACCAAATCATCTCCTGGTTACTGAGTGTTGATCAAAGTGGGTTTAGAAGCATTTTTGTAGAAATAGCGTACAGAAGAAAATTTACTTACTTCCATGTTAACTCGCGCTTCAAGAAATTCGCATTTCTATGAAACTTGCTCCAGCGTAATTCAAGTGCTTTTTGACATGCCTGCAAGAATGAGGTTTGATTGTAAGGGATTTGCACGATAAGAGGAAACAAAATCCTGACAGGCACAATTCGGTCATAGTAAGTGATGGGGGCATCGGATTTCGACACGTGTACCATCGCCGGAGACGCCGATCAATGGCCTTGATTCAGAGCCTTTATTTTTTATGCTTTATTTTATTCATGTCATTTATATTTCCTGTTTTTCCTTTTGTACCCCTATGAGGGAATTAGTGCTTATTGTAGCCCAAGGGCGTTATCGTCTTTATGCATTTTATTTCTAGATAGCCTATATAAAAGGCTTTGTCATTGTACTTGAGAGAATAATTTGGATGAAATGAAATTTCTTTTCTATGTTCTCTTTGTGAGTGCAACAAAGATCTCTTGGTGAGTTCTTCTTCGAGATCTCTTGGTGAGTTCTTCTTCGAGATCTCTTCCGTCTTCCTTTCTTTTCCCCCTAGGTAATTGTTTACCCTAGTATTTTCTCTCTTCCGTCTTCCTTTCTCTAGGTAATTGTTTACCCTAGTATTTTCTCTCTTCCGTCTTCCTTTCTTTTCCCCCTTCACAAAATTCTACACAAGGCTCACCCTAGCCATTGCCGCCGGCCTCCCTAGGGTTTCCCCACCGCCGGCCAAGCTCCCAACCGCCGGCCACCCACCTTGCCGAGAATCCTTCCCCCACCCGACCGGCTCCCCATCTCCACCAAGTTCCCATGTGAAATTTGAGGTTCAAATTTTGAATTATTTCCTAATTTGAAATTCTAAATTAGGAAAGTTTTTTGTCATGATTGATTCAATTTCAAATTATGATAATTAGGGAGCCTTAAATTCTTTGCCACGTCATCAAATCAAATTGGAAACCCCCTTCCCTCTCTCCCTATTTCTTTCCTTCTAGTAATGCCGCCGGCCCCCCTTTTGTGGGATTCAATTAAGGAGGAAATTAATACTTCCTCCTATTTGAAATTCCAATTATCCCCAAACGTTTCCTCCCTCCAATTGTGCCAAAACTGAAAACAATTTCAGTTTTCTTTTATTTCCCTCCCCTCTCTCTCTACCGCCGGCCCCCATTAATCCCACCCTAATTTAATTTCCATTAGTGCATTAATTGCATTCAATTGGAAATTCAAATTTCATAATTCTTCCCTCCTAAAACACTAAAACTGAAATCAATTTCAGTTTCTAGAATCAAACTCTCCTTTCATCCTCATCCTACCGCCGGCCTTCCCCCTCCCCTCTCCTACCCGCCGCCCCCTCTCCTCTCATTGGAGAGTTTCTTGCGGCGACCACCCCTTCGCATCTTCAAGAATGCATGGAGGTACCCGAGTGGAATTTCGGGTTTGAGTACGACAACCGCGGACGAGTGAACATCCTCAGATCTCCCTTCTTCGACGTCGGCTTTGACTTCGACGACACCGTCGAAGACTATTTGGACCGGATTCTACCAGCTCTAGTGGAGTCCATCGACGATCATTTTTCCGTCCACACGTGGATCATCGAAGGGCGTCGTTTCACACCACCTCCACGTCCGGCACCGTCCTCTCCTTCCCTACGGATCTACGGCACCATCACCCTCGGAGTGGCTTCATCACTTGTGTGGTTCTTCTTCTTCCAACAAGCCTAGAAGTAGGTAAATGAGTGCAGCCTCAAGGTAAGACAATCGCTTTGTTAACCGCGGGATTCTAGTTGGCTTTTCATTTGCTTTACTTTTATTACCGTTGTTATTTTACTGGTCTTGCTAATTTAGGTGTAAGCTCTTGCCTAAGCGTAGTTGAATTCTAAGATCTCTGAAAAGTTTCAATTGTGAACAATATTAAGCTTGCAATTTCCCCACTTAAATAATATTTTATTAAGCTTCTAAATTCAATTCCTGGTTTCACATCAGTAAGTTGAAGAAAAAAAAAAGAAAGAATCATGTTCAAATGAAGAGGACGTTTGCTTACATGTCAAATGGATATTTTTTTACAATTTATTGGCAAAATATGGAGACATTCACAAGCAGGTATTGAAGATGATCGGTAAGGTTCATTAAAAAGTCTATGAATAGAAAAGATCTTATTTGATAAAATTCTTTAAGCAGCAAATGGTCATTATTGTCGAGCTTGTGTTCTTCTATGCTAACAACCATGCTTACACAGACAGATTTGGGCTTCGGCACAGAAGAACAATACAAGAACTCCAACTATTCGAGCTATAATATCGGAACTGTCAAGCATAAATCAAACTCTACTAAATTATCAATTAAACAATAAGAAAAAAATCCATAATCCTCAATGACAAGAAAGGCTACTAGAACATCCACATGAATCTTGAGTACACAAAATGCAAAACTCTTGATATTCAATCTCTTTGATAGGTCAAAAAGCTTCAAAAACTGTCGAAACTCCAAAACCTGCAAAAGCTGAACAAACCGATCTGAAAAGGAAATGAAAGAATGACCAGCTGACCAGCCTAGAGCAAAGGGGGGCAAAGATGGTCGAGCTTTAAAAGCAATTAAAGCAATTAATAGTCTCCACCAAACTACTAAAAATAGGTTGTGTGGAGTAGGACCACTCAGCAAGCCTAACAATTGGGTTGGTGTTCAATACCTTTTTCAATTAAACGAACTACAACTTCATAAATAAAAGAGCACTTTCCAAAAGTTCAAAGAGCCTATAATTGTATTAGATATCAATCCAAATGGAATTCAGCTTTAGCTGCAAGGCACTAAAATGTGAATGGATATGTATCAAGCTTGAAACCTCCATAGAAAATTAAATTTGAGCATTCACCCCTATGATGGACATCATTATTGAAATCAACATAACCAAACTAGAAAAGTTATCATAAAAAAAAATGTTCTCAGTCACAATAACAACTCAAATCTAAAGAACTCTCACCCTGGTAATGGGTTCATTATTACATATCATTACCGGGCAAATTCATCTCCAAAATTAAGCCCTCATCTCCAAAGACAAATCTACTCAAGCTATTCTTCATTCTTGATAATGGGTTTGATTATCAAAAAATCGTAACTAAAAAAATCCTCATCCTATAAATGGTCTCTTAAATTCTGCAAGGTTCCTCTCCCCTAAAATGGCAACGGTTATAAAAAAAAATCGTAACTGGAAGGGTCATGATCAAAGTCAAAGCTCAAAACCTCCAAAGAAAATTAACTTAGAGCATTAACACTTATGATGGAAATTATTATTGCAATCAATATAACCCAACTAGAGAAGCCACCATAAAAAAAAATGTTCTCAGTCACAATAACTAATCAAATATATAGAACCCTCACCCTGTTAATGGGTTCATTATTACATATCATTACTGAGCAAATTGATATAAAAAATTAAGCCCTTCTCTCTAAAGATAGATCTACTCAACCTATTCTTCATTCTTGATAATGGGTTTGATTATCAGAAAATCATAACAAAAAAGATCATCATCCTAAAAATGGTCTCTTAAAATTCAAAGACACATATACCCACAACTTTCTTTCCAGTTGATAGGTAGCATCAAGAACCATCTAAACTAGAGGGTATTACAATCATCATCCCCAACTACCCACGACCAAGAAAAACTCTCGAGCACCAGCTTGAACCCCAACACATATAAGATGACTGCTTCCCAATGATGTGTGCCATTAAATAAATACTTAATAGGGGGAGGGACTTCTCTTCTTAATGCTAAGAAAATTTAAACCAGGCAAAAACTCATAAAGAGCTAATGTCATTTTTAAGTGTCCAAATGGCCAAACCAAAAAACCCCTAAGTAAGAGCAATAACAAACTCTCTTCAAACCATATTGTCATGCCTAAAATGTTCCCCTAAACCATAGTACTTGGACAAAAGCTAAGAACAAATATTCACAATGGCAAAGTCTATGAGTTGTGAGATATATGATACACTTAATAGGGCATGAATATCTCTTTTAACTAAGTTTAACTTTAAGATTGGAATAATTGAAAAGCTTCCTCTTCGCTTTATGAGATCCCTTAGGGCTTAGACGACAACCCATGACTAAAAAAAAAGATCTCCACCAATTAGGTTTAGGTCAACTACCATCTCTAAGTAGAATAGACTATGCTGCCAAAGATGATGAAACCATGGAAAATTAATTTTATTTTTAACGTTGAATCGGCCAGATGGCATGCCAATGGAATAGACGAATAATACCTGAGCAACAACTCCTCCCAATATGGTTTCTAATATCTTCAAAATATCACGTATCCTAATACAAGCTCAACTAAAAATATATGAAGCAAAACCGCATATGCCCTCGATGAATAGAAAGTGTGAGGTATGAAGACATTCTAAGGGAAAAACAAAAATGTACTCTACATAGAAAAAAAATTAACCAAGTGAAAAACATTCACAATATGGGAGAATAGCCCAAACAAGGTCTGAGCTGAATAGGCTCTCTCCAATAAGAATAATTTGCATCAAGTCTCCCCAATTTAAGAACTCAACTCAAATTCAGAGCAATCGGTGGTGGCATCATCGAGTGAGTGACAATGATTATATCTTTGTGACAGGAAACAAACCCAATTTTTGTGGATGGAGCATTGGATTTGCACCTGATGGAATATGCTCCTTAAGAATACAAACCATGACTAGGTCCCCTTCAACAAATACATCATGTCACCAATGAGCATATATAACAAATTTATATAAAGTGCTAGTGCGCTCTAGGTTGCCTCGAAAGCCTTGAAGTAGCTTGTCAAAAATTTCAACCATGACAGTGGCCAATTTCTTGTAGCATTTAGGTAACATGAGAATGTCCACAATGTGGTCAAGTGGTTTTTTGTACATAATGTTAAAAGGAAGATACCAGTAGAGTGGTTTGGCAAAAATATGTAAGCGAATTTGGTCTATCCTAAGACCTCATCCCAATGTTTCGGATTTTTCCTAGCAAGCAATGCAACATATTGCCAAGAATTTTATTGAAAACTTCGGTTTGTTCATCGAACTATGAATGATAGGCTGAACATAAATGAAGTTCAACCTACAATCATTTTCAAAGTTT